GCATTCCCAGGTAAGCAAGCAAAAGTTTCCTCAGCTGTAAAAATGCAATGTGACTCTGTGTGCTCTAAAAGTGCATCACCTGGCCTGCAATGCAGGTGCAGGATTACAGGTGCTATCTAGCAACATCATAAATACCTTTGTCTCATGCAGATAAAACTAATGCTGAGGGTAATAAAATGGATGGCATTGGCTTTTTACAGGCCTCATAAAAGAGAGCCTAAAGTCCATCAACACAGACGATTCAGAAGACTCACAGAAGATTCCCAGATCTCATCCTACTTGCCCTTGTTCCACATGTCACCACAAGAGAACTTGTGGTTCTGCATCAGCAACAGATTGGATGAGGTTTAAGAGACCTCCTAAGGTCATCTAGATCAACTTCCTGGATCAAGAAGACTCAGGTGGAACAGGCTGCCCAGGCAGCACCCTATAACCTCCTGAGCATGACGACTGCACACGTGGTTTTGACAACCTATACAGGTCAAGGACTTCTCTTTTCTTGCAGAGATGGTGAGGAGCTGCTCTCTGTTCTGGAGAGCAAGGCCATCATTCATAGACCCAAATGCAGCCACCGTAGCTGAACTGAAATGGTTCTCTGTTCTTGACATTCCAGAGGAACCTTCCCTCCAGTGAACTCAGCCAATGACTGAGGCACCACAGTGGTAACAAAGAGAGTTTTAAGTTAACAGATCAGCTGGTAACAACCTCACCTTTTACACCAACCTGCACATGAGGAAATGAAGCTCATTTTTCCCCTCTGGCTGTTTTCAACATCATTACCAGGCTTAGTCCAGAAAAGACACCATTTGTACTAGTTCTGAACTGGCTTTTTGGTTATGTTCTGAGAATCTGGACAGGAAAAGCACCCTCCAGAACTCCTTGTTAAGTTTTAGGAATCCATTCCACACATATGATATGAGAAGTACTGGGTTAAGCAAGTTACATACATCTTTCTGTGTTCAGCAGCTTCCAGAACGTGTAAAAGCTTCCTTGATTAACAATCCCATTTCACTCCTTTCGTTTCATGGTTAAGTAATTGTTTGTCTACAATTACTACGTAGATGTGTGTCCATGGGCAGATGAAGGATTTTAAGGTGGCCACTCAACCATTCACCTTCCCTGGAGCTGTCACCTTCCAGTCTGTGCCAGACATTGCCGCAACTGCCACACGTTGATATCAGCTCCTACGGGAACACACAGGGACTTCCAAATCCTAGTCTGGCATGTCAGGGTCACCTTTTAAATGTAGGCTTTGCACTAAAGACCTCAGAGTCTGCAAGAATTACTTTTAGAAAAATACCTACATTTTCCCTGTTGGCAAAAGGGAGATGCAAGCATGTTCATTTCATTTTGTGTCACCATCTATGACTCTCCTTCAAAACAAAGGCTTGTTCTACCACAGCCAATAATCAAATTCTTTTGTTCTTCAATTGTTCCAAACACCTATTGTTTTGAGAAGCCTGAAGCTGTTTTTAAGCAAAATGCAAAGTAGAACATAAGTCGTCATCAGCAAAATCCATTCCACGGTGTTTTCAGTTGGCCCAGGAATGTTTCAGCAGATGGTTAAGACCATCACCAGAGGCACTTTCCTACTCTTGCTCCATGATCTCAAATAACAGCAGGAGCATGGAACATGTGACATTCAAGTGCCTTCCAGGCAGTAGCACAAAGACTTGTAAGAGTTTGGAGAACAAATTCATAACCCTAGTCCATAGAACAGAGCACCTCTCTGTTTGCTGTCTGGGAAATGCAAAAAACATGATCCCACCTTCACTCTTTGTCAACTCAGCAAGGTAGGTCTCCTGCAATATCGAGAAGAGGGAAGGACAATCAAGCCAAGCCACCCTCTGGGAAGGAATTTGCCTTTGGAAGAGCTTTGTCTCATGACACTCTTCTGACAGGACTACCTCTAGGGCATGGAAAGCTACAACATACAGTGATCAACAAGTTTTTTATTTTAATTATGAGTGATAATAAACCCCCCTGGAAAAAGCTTTGAAAGCTGCCTTTCTCATCTAGCTTTCAAAGGCTGGGACTGCCACAGAGCTGTTAATCCAAAGCAGAAATGATTTAGAGTTAAAAAAATCTGAGTGGTTACTATCCCAGAGACAGGTTTTCCATCTACTGCCTCCAGGAGAGCAGCCTTCTCCAAACAGGCAACAAGTCTGAGACAAATCAAAGTTTCTAAACTTCCAGATGAGAACGCGTATCGTTATCGATACCAAAGGCTAATCATTAACTACTGCTGGGATTTAACTATAAATCACTTTTACTCCTCTTTAAGCCTATCTATTGCCTGACCTGCAGCCCATTTCAAACCAAAGCCATGACTTGCAATGTGGAGTAGGAAATACACTCAGCTGTGCATAATGGGGTAAGGGCTGAAGCAGCAGGGACTGCTGCTACATTCTACTTGGGGTGAAACCATCCCTCACAAAATATCAACAATCCTTTTTGCTACAGCCAAAGACTTCCTGTGACCCAAGATAAATATTGACTGCTTGGGTTATGCAGCCCACTGGAGTCATAAGCTAATGATGTCAGGACCAGTCCAAGGACTGGGATGCTCACAGAAAGCTCCACGTCATAGTAAAAGTAACTCCTGAGCCCTCCTCCTAAGACCTTTGCAGAAATGCAAAGAGATTTTGCTCTTTGCTCTTGGATCTCCTTGACCAGATTAAATGTGTTGCAAAGATGACTTTCAAACACATCACACAAAACACATTTCAAACATCCTCTGTTAGAGAAATCAGCGGTTTGCTTGCTTGTGGTTATTGTAACAAAGCAAGCTTATTTTTCTTTACTATCTACTCCATAATGAAGAAATGTGACATTTTCAAAGCTATAGGTCAGCTTTTAGAAGCTTGAGGGAATGGTACAAGACAAATCCTGTCAGGGTAGCTGGCCCTCTGACCAGAAAGCTGGCGTCAGCAATTGCCATGGAAGAAAAAATGTGATGAAGGAGAGAAGTGCAAGAAGTTTGGGGGTTCTGTGCTCTGCAGTGCAAGTGCCCTTGTGGCGGGGGCAGTGGTTTCATGAGAGATCAAAAGCAAGAGCTGCACAAAAAGGGATCAACTGGCAAGCAATGCACATGACCCTCCTATTGTGATATACTGGAGGGTTTATTTAAAATAATTCAGCAAATTAAGGAAAGCCATGCTACTGCCAAAAGGTTTTTTAACTACTCAGTCTTACCAAAGTCAGAATATTGGGTTTTACTAACCATATAGCAGGACATTTTATAAGCAAGGACACTACCCTGTGTTTATGTCTTGTATGAAGAGAGCAGCACAAAAATGGCTTTACAAGTACTACCAAACCTGTAGCAGGAACATGAGGGCAGCTGTAAAACTCCCAACTATCTTTCTTTTACATAAGTTAGGCTCCAGTTTGACAATATTGTAACATTTTTCCTCCAGCATCCTTCAGTCTCACCTTACACCACCTTAGGCATTAAGGTTCAGTACGTCCTTGTGAGATAATGTCTTATCCCAAGTTAATGGAGGACATCAAAGCCAATGGTAACTTGATTTGTACGAGACTCTCCTGGCAGAGAATCCAGAAATCATGACTCAGTCTCTTGTCAAGTCCATTAGACCTGGAGCTCAGACAAACAAGGGGACCATAAAAAGAGGCGACTGAGAAAACCTGACCAACATTGTGAGTTGCTTTTCACTTCCACAGTATTTCAAGGCTGGGTGTGTTCCTCAGGACCTTCTCTGCTCCTACTTCCCATATCACTTTGATGTACACGGGCTGACTCATGGTCTCGGAAACACTCATGGTATCTTGCTGCCCTCCCAGGGAGTTCTGCACTGCCAGCAGCTGCTGGGGTCACTTCCCCAGGGCTGGAGCAGAATGAACAGGGATCATCTGCCCCCTGGGAGCCTTGGCTCTAAGTCTGCTCCACGGTTGTGTTTTTCTTACCCAGTAAAGGATGCAAGTTTGGAAATGTTGTCAAGCTGTGACAACACACAGTCAAGTCTCTTTAGTACAACGCCTTCCAGAGCAGGAAAAGTTAAGTGAGACAGACAGTAACTGATTAATCAGATCCCTGGCTCCCAGCAGCCTGTGGACACGGGATAGAGGAGCCCAGCCAGGAGCTGCAGGGAGCTGCCGAGCTGTGCTGCACTAGGGACCAGGCACAGCTCGGCTGCTCCCCTGGTCCCACACAGGTGGAATGTGCACCATTGGAAAGAAATCAGACAAGGAGCAGGCTGGGACACAGGGATGAGCATCTCAATCAGGAGGCTGAAGCCTTTCAAGGAACTGCTTTTCCAGGCTCACAACAGAGCAGGCTAGCCAGACAGATAACAAGACTTAGCTTGTAAGCTCAGCATTGCACCGCACGTTGAAGGTGGCCTTGAAGGAAAGCACTTTTTAATCCTACAGATCCAAGTCCAATTAAATTATCTCCAAAGTAAGAAAAAGCCAGAAAGTGTATTTACCACACATGCTCCTTGCCCCAGGAAGAGATAAGTGTTTCAAAAAAGATTTTTTTAAAAAAGAAAAGATGTGTCCAGCTTCCTCTTGACCAGGTTGGTCAACTAAATGTATCACAAAGTTTGTATTCCAAGTTCATGTACCTTCATCAGAGGAATGACTGGAATCCTTGGTAACTAATGAGCATATGTGGGAAAAGAAGGCTTTGTTAAAGGGAAGTAGGACTCACAAAGTCTCAGGAGAGAACCTGATGCACTCACTCTGACTTTCAGGACAGAAAAGCTGCTCTCTCAGCTTCTCAGCCTAAGGGTGTGCTGAGCATCCAGAAGCTGCTGCATCACTTACATTCTGACCCATGATCCAGAGCTACCACAGTCTGCTCTATTAATTTAGATCAACATTAGAGGGAACAGATTACATGCATGTACAATTTTTTCAACAGGTTATAAATGACATTCACACCTGTGGTACGACGGTGACCGTGGGCTCTTCTCATCTGAAATATGTGAAAGAGCACAAAGAAAATCTACTTTCCACAAGTGTTCTAGGTGGCAATCATGGCTGTTCAAATGCCACTGGAGACCAACAGGACCCTTGCAGATATGGACTGGTGAGACAGAGGGAAGAAATTATGTGCAGAAACCTATGTTAGGAAGATGACATGAAAGACTGTGGAAACAGAGAAGGACAAAAAAGAGGGATCTCATCACAACCTCCTGCTTCTAGATTGGCTTCTAAACCAGAAAAGTCTAATTCCAGGACCAACAAATTAAAAGCTTTAGAAAGTTAATTTGTAGTGCAGCAAAATAGCAATTTAATTTGCTTACAATAACTAGTCCCATTATTCTCTGAATTAGCAGATTCCAGCTTTCAGCTGAAAAACAGGTTAGTGAAAAAACCTATCAGTCCTCAAGTTCCCCAGGACTTGATTGGGAACATTTCCAGCAAATTAGATTGAAACACAAGGCAATGAAGTAGATTAACAAAGATTGGATTTCCCATAGAAAAGCAACATAAACTCGATGGACTCTTTTTTATCCTTCCCTAAGAAAAAATTGCCAAGACTCCCAGTGATTTCCTGGAGCAGGTAATGCTGGCACTCTGCTCCAGCTCAACTTCACAAAGCTCTGATGGAGATGACTGCAACTGCCAGGTGACCTTCAGCCAAGGCAGGTTTCCTGCTGGTTAGAGGGGTCTTTGCAGCAAATACAGAAACCAAAAAGGAAAGGAGAAAATACTACATTTTGGTTCAAAGAACAAAAATTTCTGTCTTTTCTCTGGCCTAATGTCTGACTGGAAAACAAGATAGGAAGGTCCTGAGGGTCCTGACCCAAAAGTCACTTTGTGGATAGGACTGATCTTCTGGTCTCTTAAAGATCAGTGTTCTCAACACCTTCCCCTCTCAAGCATTAAGTTGCAGTCTCAGGACAGCATGTCCCACTGATCCAAATACTGAAGTTACACTGTCAAGGGGTGAGAGAAGAACCCTCCCAAGCCTCTTTTCTAAAAAGAAGGAAAAAAATACAGAAAACATAAACCTTCCTGTCCTCCCACCACTGCAAGTCAAAGTGGGACTGCACCCTTCAAACAAAAAAAAGCAAGCATGCAAAAGTGACATGGAAAGCTTATTTCATTCCTCCTCTCTTCTGGCAGAAGTTATTCTTATTTTCAGCCTAGCTCAAAAGCTGCTCTAGCTTAGAAATCCAATAAGAAATCAAAATAATTCTCTCTACCTTCCAACAAGCAGCAAAAAATCTCTGTAGCAAGCAGCCATGCAAAACTTGCTAGTTCTCAATAGGAAGCTGTGTGGGAGCCTGCAACCTCTGCTAGTTTTATTGCTTTCAATCCTTTTTTTTTTTTTCTTTTTTTTTTTTTTTGGTGGAGGAGAGTGAGTGGAAGAAGAAATAAACTTGCTTAGAGCAAAAAACGTTTGGTTTTATAGCAAAAAGCACCCCTTCAATTCTCTATCGTGCAGCAGGGCAGCCAGAGGCAGCTTCACCAACACCCCCCCAGTTAGGAAGCCAAGTGCAATAACCTGCATTTTAAGTGCAATATTCACACATTATTCCCAGTGCCCCCTTTTTAATGAAGGATGGGAACAAAAAGTGATTCATAACCCAAAGCTTGATGAAGGCCTTAGGAAATATTACTTCATATATGAGATGAACTGGGATCATTAAGCTGAACAGTAACTTACGCTATAAAGTCACATATTGTTACTCATGAAAAATACTGCAAAAGCTTTATTGACCTCAGGCTCAAGCAGAGGCAAGTTAAGATCAAACAGATCAAAAGTACATTTAATAAATGCGTGTGAAGAGCTTTCAATCCACCTCTGCACAGAGTGCCACACAAGCATTCTGAAGCTTGGAATTCAAGTACAAGCAGGAAAAAATTGGTCTAAGTCTGGGAACGGGTGTGGAGCCTCAAACCCACTGCAAACTCCAATGGAGAAGGGGGAGATAAGATAAAATTAAGATAAAATTAAAAAAAAAAAAATGAAGCAGGGTAAGACAGGGCTGTGATGTGATGCTTGCCCTGGTGGGGCAGCTCATGCTCCTACTCATCAAGCCTTGCCAGGGCTGGATTCTCACTGAGAGGTTGTTCACAGGGTAGGAATCCTTGGTTGTACCAGAACTGCAAAGTTTCTGCTTCCAAAAGTCCCAGTTAGACTTTGTACTAAAAAAACCCCAACACATTGGGAGCAGATATCACATAACCTGTACCCAAAAAAGCTTAAATTCAAGTGCAAGGCTAGGACTTAGCCACATAGGTCTTCACTGTTTAAAAAACAGGTCTTGAGGGCTAGTGATAGAAATATGGAAGGAGGTAAAGAAACAAACTATTTCTTCATCTAAGGAGCCCAAGAACCACACCTCCTATTTACAGTTCATGTCCAATTATTGTAAGTATATTGTGTGTGTGCATTTTTGTGTGTTTTTTTTAAACAGAAACAAGGCTTTTGACCCTTTTCAGGTTTCATTCTGAAATAATCACACATTCTGCAATGAAAAAAGCTACTTAATACTCCCCCTAATCTGTTCCCTTTAGGATTGAAATCCCTGATTTTCCACTCGTGCTATATTGTCTCAATAAAACTCCCAAATTACTGCAGATAACTGCTACAACACATGTGGCAACTTCCTGCTCAAGTATCTTAAAAGTAACTATTATTCCGAATTTCCAGTCAGTGCCAGAAGGCACCCAGAGCCAAAGGAATTACTCAGCTCTCTCCCACATTCAGTTTTCCTGCATTTCAACATCACCCCGTTCTGAAGAGCTGACTTCAAAGACAAGGCAGAGGGTCTCACAAAGCACCTGCTTTTCAAGAGGGGAAAAAAAACCCCAAACACCCCAACAAACTAAACCCAAAGCCCTCCAACAAATCACAAAACGGGTGCATTGAAGCTACAAGGTAAAGGTCAAAGCCCCAAGGTGAAGGTGGGAAGCTGCTGAACGGGTGCCTGCTCAGGTGTTTTTAACACCAATGAACTACCCTGAATCCCAAGAACAAACCGGATCACACGGCACCAGCGGCCCCTCCAGGACTTAAGAGCCAAATGGGGCACACACCAGTGCACAGGGCTCCCTCACCCCCCCC